TGCCTACTATCCATACCCTTACTAGGCCCAACAGTCATTTTCATATTGTCTTCTTCTAATGCCACAAATGAGTTTAGGCTGTACATAGCCGGCCTATTACGTCCCAGGCTTGGTGCAAAATTCTCCTTACCCTTCACTTTCACTTTAATTGGCGCCTTTTGTTTGGATCTCACTACTATCAAAACCCAATTTGATTTCTTATTAGATATTTCCTTGCCAAATTGGCATTGATTCTCAGATTGCCTTCCATTCTTGGCCACAGAGCAAAAAATCCCTTTTAAAACTACCATTATTTACATATCCCGAACTTCTTGGCACAATGTAAGCTTTTTCCATATCTCTACCCCTCCTTGACATACTTGGAGATCCCTTTGGCTCAATCTTTGGCATTCGCCTCCTAAAATCCCATTTCACAATCCTACCTGAGTCGTACTTTCTGCTATTCTTCATTACCTGCAATCCACCTCCGCTTAGCCTCACCTAACCAGCCTCCTTCGGCTTCCTAATTTTTGGGGAAGGAGTTCCAGTTTGGGAGATTCCCCAATCATCTCTCTCAGTGTCCACAACTTGATCCCTTTCATGCACACACTATAAAAAAATGGTGCAATAGCCACAGAAAATTGCCACATTTTTTCTTAAACCATTAGATAATCCCACGTTTTAACAAAAAACTGTTATCAATTTTTTTTAAAAAAAAATGAACTCAAGCCATGATTTTTCAAAAACTATGGCTTATTGAGCCACATTTTCCACAAAAAACATGGCTCACTTAGTTTTATCAGAAATTGAGCCACGGTTTCTAACAAAACCGTGGCTGGTCTGACAAAAAGTCAGAAATCGAGCCACGGTAGAAAACATGGCTTAGTTTCTTCTATTTAAACCCCTCGTTGCAGTTTTCAAAATCATGCAAAATATTCAGCATATTCAGGTGCGCGAGCTTCCTATCTTTCCTACGTCTTTCTTTTATTTTTTTTTTGTTTATTTTATATATGTTTTTATATTTAATATATTTTATTATATATTTTCAGGAGTTGAAAAATTCTTGAAGTCATTATAAATTTGATATTTCGCTGCACATTTGAGGTAATTTATTTTTTATCTTATGTTATATTTCATTTTTTAATTATATAGAATTTTATGTATGATATTTATTAATTTTTTAATATACATTGAATATTTATGAATAGGATAAGTTAAAATTAGATGTTTAATTTTTTTATGATGAATTGTGACATGAATCTATGTTGTATTTTATTAGCTTTAAATTTTTTATTAGAAATTTTTATTTTTTATATAGGATAATTTAAATGCTATATTAATGTTAAAATTAAATTTATTTGTTGTGCTTAAATTTATGTTGTGCATGTTGATATTTTTATTTTCATTGTTTATATTTATTTACATAATAAAAAATATGTAAATATAATAAATTATAAATATTTTTTATTTTATACAAAAAAATGGATAAATCTTGAATGTTTAAACTTCACAACACAAGAGAATATATGAATAGTTTGAAAGAATTTTTAGATTTTGCTTTTGCAAATAGTAGTGTTGAGGGTAAAATAATTTGTCTTTGCTATAAGTGCAATTTTAAAAAATGGAATGTTTGAGAAGAGGTTTGGAACCATTTAATTGCTAAACCATTCCCTCTTAGATATACATGTTGGGTTTTGCATGGTGAAAAATGCAAATTGAGAGTAGCTTCTTCCAATGGCCCAATTAACGTGGGAAGTAAAGAATAAGACAATGAGGCTAGTGATCATATTCATAAATTAATTTGTGATGCTTTTGGTGTGCAAGAAGAAAATGAAACTTCAATTCAAATTGAGGATTCATTACAAAATCAAAATCAAAGGATGAATGAAAAGACTAAAGAATTGTTTGAATTGGTACAAGATGGGCAAGAGTAATTATATGACGATGTGAGAAATATTTAAAATTATCATTCTTAATTAGATTATACTGTATTAAATGCTTGTGTGGTATAAGCAACAAAGCTTTATCTATGACTCTGGAATTATTAGCAGATGCTTTTCCATTTGCTAAAATTTTCTCTTCATTTTATGAAGCAAAAAGACTATTACTAAGTTAGGATTGGAATATAAAAAAATTAATGTTTGCCCAAATAATTTTATGTTATATTGGGGGGAAGATGACAAAAGAGAAATCTGCAAAACATGCAATACATCAAGATGGAAATTGATATCCAAAAAGAAAAACCAAGTGAAAAAACCTGTGAAAATTTTGAAATACTTTCCATTAAAGTCACGATTTGCAACGACTATTTATGTCATCTAAAACTACAAAGCATATGAGGTGGCATGTTGATGAAAAGAATGTTGATGGTTTGATAAAGCATTTGAGGGATTTTGAAGCATGGAAAAATTTTAACATGACTTATCTAAATTTTGGTTTAGAACATCTACAAGTGGTTCTTATACCTTATAATCTTGCCCCATATATGTGTATAAAATAGGGTTCATTCATACTTTCAATGATAATTCTCGGATGAAAAGCTCTAGGAAATGACATTGATGTGTATTTGTAGCCCTTAATTCAAGAACTTTTAAATTTGTGGAATGTTAGAGTGGAAACATATGACTCTTAGTCTAATGAAATGTTTAGAACGTGTGCAGCATTAATGTGGACAATTAGTGATTTTCTTTGTCTTGGGGCATTGTCTGGATGAAATGTTCATACAAGATTAGCATGTCTGACATGTAATTTTTATTGCTCATCATTTCGACTATTAGATAGTCAACAATGGTGTTTTATGGGTCATCGACACATTTTAAATGGTACACACAAATTTAGGTTGGCTCGTGCTTGATTTGATGGAAAATCAGAGTTGAGAATGCCACCTAATGTTCGATCAAGGTGAGAAATTTTGAGACAAGTTGAAAGTTTTAAAATGATTTTTGGGCAAGGCCAATGATGAAAGATCTAAAAAAAGGGCTCAAAATTCAAGTGGTAAGGATTCTCAACAATGGTGTGAGAGAAGTATATTTTTTGATTTACCTTATTGGTTAAATAACATGTTTCGCCATTGTCTAGATGTGATGCATATTGAGAAGAATGTTTGTGATAATGTCCTTTTCACATTATTGAATGAGTCTGATAAATCAAAAGATCATTTACAGTCACAAAAAGATTTGAAAGAAATGGGCATTAAGCCAAAATTGTGGCTAGATGATAAGGGAAAATTTCGTCCAGCCAAGTTTACATTGAGCAAGTCTAATAAGGATGTCTTTCTTAAGACATTAAAAAATATTACTATTCCACATGAATATTCGAGTAACATTTCTAGATGTGTTAATTTGAGACAATAGAAGATTGTGGGGCTAAAAAGTCATGATTATCATATTTTGATGCAACAATTGCTTCTATTAACAATGAAAAATACTCTTCCAAAAAATGCGACACTTTAATTCAATAAATACGCCCAACTTATTTTATTTATACTTTTTTCATTCTATATTTTCTAATGTTGCATATTTGTTTTTATTTGTAGGATTCATCTTTCAATGCTATCCTAAACATTAGAACAAATATGAATTTGAACAATTCTTCGAACTCTTTTCATGGATAAATTTTCTGCTTGAAATTATCATCTGTAATGAACCAATGAATATTTATTTCTTTTGTTTTCTTTATGTCTAACTTTGTTGAAATTTTGATGAACAATTTTATATTAAGGCTTTTTTCAGTTAATAATATTTTTTATGGGTGGGATAGATTGTTACTAATATATAAATTATTTATATTAACGTTAACAACATAACTTTCATCAATTAGAAGTATAATATATTTACTATCATATAAATTTTTTTTGGTTAAAATTAATATTATAAATTGTATTCACTTAAATTTTATTTAAAAATATATTTTCATAATAAAATATAGTTAATTATAAAATGATTATGTTATTAGAATAATTTATTCACAATCATTAATAGAAATATGTCACTTTTATTTTTATTTAGTAGTAAAATAAAAAAATTTTATTTAATTATTAAACAAAATATTTAACTTTTTTTAAAATTAATGAGCTAAAATTAATATTATAAATTTTATTTTCTTAAATCTACAATTAAATAATGTAATAGTTAATTATGTAATAATTTTTTGTTAGGATAATTTAGTTATTTTTAATCATTAAAAAAGGTATTTGATTTTGTAGGTATAAAAAAAGATAATTAAGTTTAATTATTTTTAAAAATTAATAATAGCATGTGGATTTAATTAAGGCACATTACTTTTAAGAAAACTGAGAGGGACTGATCTCCAGCCACGTTTTCTAAAAAATGTGGCTTGGAGAAGCCACATTTTTTAAAAAAAAACTTAGCGAGCCACGCAATTTTTTTTTTTAAATGTAGCTCATTAAGCCATATTTTTCCTCTAAAACATGGCTGATTTAGCCACCTTTTTTTAAAAAAAAAAAAGTGGCTTAATCTTAGTTTATATACATGTGTGCGCGCGCGCGCGCGCACTCATTGTGTTCATTTGTTCCTCACCTTATTTCATTTATTTCAATCTCTTCCCGGGCTCTTTCATTTAGCTCCAATTCTTTAGGTATCTTTCAAATTTCATTCTTTTTCTTCTTCATCTGACTCATTCTTTATCTTCTTCATTTGATTTCAGATTCTATCTTTTTATCTTATTCTATCCTTATTTCTTATATATTATTATTTTTTATATATTCATTTATTTAAAATTTCTAATTATATTTTTTTTTTGTTTTACAAGTTGGGAAATGTCTGGATGTTTGAAATATTAATTAAAAATATTTATTAGTAAAAACATAATTTTATATCAATAGCAACGGAAGTAACTTAAATAGTTTGGGTCAATAATTTGATAATAAAATAAATTAAATTTAATTATCAAAAATAGTTTTAAAATTACATCGAGTGAAACATTTTTTTAAATATTGCAAAAAATAATAATTTCTATAATAATTTGTAATATTTAAACAACACAAAAGCTTCATGAAATATTTAAATTTCCAAAAATTTTTTATTAAAATAAGCCAGTAGCTACGTTTTTTCAAAAAACATGGCTTTAATATAGAAATTTAGATTTTTAAGATTTTGAAACTAGTGAAAAAATTTACCAAATTTTTTTTCAAATAACCTTATGGCCACATTTTTGTGAAAAATGTGGCTACAAAGGGCTGACTGTCTGACAGCTGAACAAAAGGCACAGTTTTTAGTAGAAGTATGGCTTTGAGCCACTTTTTTTTTTTTTTTAAATCGTGGCTATATTTTTGCCATGATTGATATAGCCAAGCTTTCTTACAACCATTGGAAAAAAGCTTTGCCACATTTTAAAAACATGGCTGTTGAACAAGTAAAACCATGCCAACGTACTAGTTTGGTTGTAGTGACATCATGCCCAGTGATTCCCTCCTATTGAAGATCCTCCACTTGGCTGTTCTTTTCTACATGTATTCTATTCACTATCACCATCACTTTATAAAGATAGATGAACCCTTCATAAGCAATTTGGTATTCTTCCCCATAAAATTTAAAGGTTGGCATCAATGGTTGAATTAAATCTAACTCTACAAATCCTTGCAAAAGCTCCTTTGTATGATCCAGAGGTTAATCTATCAATTTTTAGTATAGTCCCCACCTTATCTCCTATCATTCTTATAAATTGCACATTATAAAGCTCCATTAGTAAATCTAAGACACAAATCCAAGTGGCCATCCTCCTTTGTGTTTCTACTTTCCAAGGATTAAAATTTAGCCTCTATTTTTGCACTAATAGGTAGTGTTCATCAATAATCCATGGCCCTTCTTGGTATGTATAATTAAGATCCTCCTTTATTGAGAAAGACACAATGAAGTATCTATTACTGAGAGGTAAAATCCGCATTGGTTCTCGTAATTGCCACATCCTTATAAGTCTAGGCCTAAAAATCATAGTAGAATATTCCTCCCTAACAACTTCACTAATAAAGAGTTTAGCCAAGGATGACACTGTAACATCATAAGTTTTTTAATTAGTAATTATCAGTGTTTTTAAGGGTAAATTGGTCAATTAAAATAAATTATTGATTAATGAGGTTTATGGGAGACTAGTAAAGTTTTTGGATCATTGGACAGCCTTAAAAGTTGGCTAGGTTGATGTTCGAGTGGGCCATGGCACAGAAGGAAGTTTAAATTTTAGTGTGGCTTTTTGTACCATGCGCCGTGGCTGGCGTGTCAATGCACCACGGTTTACTTGCAAAATCAACACTTATCAATTCACGAAAACAAACTGAAAACAGAAGAGGGAAAGAAGGAAAATGAGAGAGCGATAGAGAGGACCTCATGGTCTTCTAAGGCACAATACCTAGGCCACGTTATGAGTATTTGAAGCTTGAATCACTATTAAGTAAGTTCCACATTCCCTCTTCTCCCTCTTTTATGCAAAAATCTGGACTGATGAGGCAATGGGGGCTTTGTTCTTAGTTCTCTTGGGTTTAGGCCAAACCTATTAGTCTATTTAAGGTCTTGGAGAGTTAAATCAAGTTTCTAATCCTAAGTTTATGAGTTTTATGGTGACTAGGATTTTTTGTTGAGGGTTTGGATGAACCCTAGGTATAATCTAGAGGTTTTCAGACAATGTGAGGAATTGGCTAGTAATTTTGGTGTGTTGGAATGTTTAATAGGATGGTTAGAATGTTTGAGAATGGTTGGTGTTGTTAGAAAAGGAATTTGAGTGTTGTGAGTACTTAAAACCTAGTAAATTCGAAGTTATCCGTAGTGATAATTGATGATTATTACTTGATTGTGTAGATTGAGCATTCCTTGAGCTATATCATGTATATAAAACATGTGGAGCTAACGTTGAGTCACGGTAAACTTTTTGTATGACAAAGGGTTAAGGTAACCATATAGTTTATTATGTTTATTAACTATTATAACTGTGTAAAAGTAAATACAAAGTGATGAATTTGTTGTTTAAGAATTTTGTACATGATTTGATACTGAAAAATAATTTTAGCATGAACATTGATTTGTGAAATGGAATTCAAAAATTTATTGATTTCAATGAATATGTACACACACACACACATGATATGAAAGTAAGTGTTATGAAAATATGGATAAGCAGTGATAAGTATGAAAAGCATGATCATAAAGAGTGGGAGTTCACCTATGATATGTGGGGATGTGTGTGTGTGGAGATATGTGAGTGAAAAATCCATATGGTTGGGCTGGCACCATGGGACATTTAGTGCATCATTATATGAGACTGTTACTATAGGATATTTAAGCAATCTGGCAACTCTCTAGTATCTGTTAAGGCGTGGTTATGAGTCAATAATGCCTCTATCACAAGTGTGTGAAGAGGAAAAAATCATAATTCGTAGGTAGGTTAGATTACTTTGGCTGGGTATTTCTATCACCAAAAGTGTGTTCAAGTTAATAAGTGATTGATCTAAGAGAGCCTATAGTTTCATGTCGGGGAGCATTGAAGGTTCTGTAGTTAGATAATCATACTAGTATGGAATTGTTATGAAAAGATAAATCTATCTCATAATTTGATATACGTGAGATTACCTTAGTTTTAATACTTTAACATGGTTATTTATAGTAATAATCATTTGATGAACTATATTAGTTATTGAGATGTTTAGCTCATCTCGTGGTTATATTTTACAGGTGAGGGCTCTTGTAGGGGGCAAGGAGAAGGAAGGGGCATCTGAAGAGTGATGAGCATAATCGTATAGCTCTTCCCCTTTTTCTTTTGGGTTTGTAATGAATATCATCAATATACAATGCCAACTTAGGAACATGACATTATTTTAGGATATCACTTATATGAATTTTTGATAAATGTGCGTATCTTGGTCTAAGGTTGATGCTGTGTGTGCTTGGCCAAGTTACAAGTATAAATGATTTAATTGAAGTGATTTATATGCCAAAATGACTAAGTTAATATGTGTGTTAAATTTCATACACCCTTTAATGTTATTGTCAGGTAGGGGTTTGGCGGTCATTTTGAGTGTGATTGTTTATTTTTGTGATATGAATGAATTTTCATGTAATGTGTGGTCCATTTGAAGTGGTCAATGTATCTCTAGAGCTAATGGCATTTGACATTGTGAGTCAGACACCTTTGTGTGTGTGTGTGTTGAAGTAGAAACAAACCATTTTGAATTCAGGTATCTATTATTTAAATGGATGATAGTTCAAGTGTGAGACTAGTGCCATTAGCTAGAGGGCTTGAAGAACTTCATGTGGATATTTGAATCGCTTAAATTGGACATCGAATGGTGAAACGGCGTACTCCAAAAGTTTGGAGAACTATCATGACAGCAATCTGCTATCATGACAATAGATGTGAGCCACAGCATATGGTAGTTGCATTACAGCGCAAGTGGCCTTTGAGGGACTCATCCCTTTGTGCCATCCACTGTGGCGGACAGGCTAGATTTTTGAAAAAAAAATGGCTTGTTTTAGCCTATTTTAAAGTAGTTTGATTTTCATGCTTCTGTATTTGTTTTTAATTGATTTTGAACTGTGGTTTGAGCTCAAATAATAATATTTTAAGAAGGGTTTTCTTGGGATCTCATTGTTTTAAACTAATTATCTTTTAAATTATTGGTTTGTGATAACTTTTACTTGAGATTTTCTTTAATTCTAGTTACAACAACGACGTGTATGAGTGTTATCCTGGTAATATCAAGGCGGACATTATAATTTAGTATCAGTTTCAATTGTTTCGAGACTGGTATGTGTGATTGTTATGTTGGATTATATTATTGTTGCATTCATGTTTAGAAGTTGGCATATATATTCATTACACTTACCTTCTCTTTGCATAGTTAAATCATTTAACGCTTATTCTTGTTGTGGTTACTTCCATTCTTAGGAGAAGAGAGAGGATGGCAAGAAGAACAACCGCTAGAACAGCTATAGGTGATAACCTATCTAATACATATGTGGTACCAAAGACCAATAAGCTACCACCAGAGAATCACATTTTGATTGGTTAGAACTTGTAACAATTGAGGAATGAGCCACAGGATAATAAGGCCTTGCTATTAGAGATAAGGAACTTAATGCAAGAAATATGTAATTAGGTGCGAGGTCAAGGTGTATTGAGGAATGATAGAGCAAAATGTGATAGTAGAATAATAGAAAATGAAGAAGAGATGTATGAGCAAGAGAATGAAGCACATGATGAGAGCACACCTAAGCAATCGAGAGTTATGGATGGCAGTGGTTCACAAAATTCCATGGATCGAGCATGGAAGAGTTTCTCATGGTTTCATCCATCTACCTTTGATGGAACAATGAAAAAGGGTGAAGTCGAAGAGTGGATTGAGAGAATTAAAATAATCTTTGAGATTGTGCCATGTTCAAAGGAGCAGAAGGTGACTTTAGCCTCTGTATTGTTTGTAAAAGAGGTTAAACATTAGTGGAAGTTAGTGAGATCGACGGGTAGAGTTAAGTAGATGTGGGATGAATTTAAAGTGAGGTTTTTTAACTTCTACTTCCTAATGGCCTTTAGAGTAGAGAAAGAAGTCGAGTTTCACAAATTTAAGCAAGGAAATTTTAATAAAGAAGCTTTTATCACTAAATTCAATCAATTGTCAAAGTACTCTACCTATCTCATAGGAAATGATAACTCAAAATGGAAGGCAGAGATGCTACTTGAAAAGATGAGGCCTGAGTACTGACAACAGTTGGCCTTGTTTGAGATTACATCTTATGATGAGATGTGAAATAAGCTAAGAATAGCTGCGAAAAGGGCAGAGAGGAAAAGATTAAGGAGAGAAGGGATAGTTAAGGCAGATTCTTACAATCGCTTAGCCCTACTAGTGGAGTTAGTAAGAGGTCTGGTTTTAGCTCTGATAGTTCTAGGAGCTTTAGGAAGAAGAAGAGTTTTCAGAGGGGACCATAGTCCTAAGGCTCTTTCCAGAGGATCAGTGGGTCAAAGAATGGTGCTAGTAATGCACAGTCAACTCAACTGGCTTCTACAGTACCTGTATCGATCTTAACACGGCTAAAACCCCTTAGTGCTTGAAATGTCGGAGATACCATGTGGGAAAGTGTTGGGCTTGCTTTAAGTGTAGCAAGATAGGGCACATAGCCAAATATTGTGAAGAGGGCAAAGTGGGTACCATAGAACAGAGATCGACTATTCTTAAGAGGGTATTTGCGTTGTCCTAGGAGGAGGCAGGTGCGTCCCCAATTTGATTAAAGGTAAAATCTCTTTGCACAAATGTGATATAGATGCCTTATTTGATTCGGGTGCTACCCATTCTTACATTTCTAATGACTGTGTGTTAAGGTTGAAATTTCCTATGCATACCTTACCATATGTGATTAATATGTCAATGTCGGTGAGAATTTCTATAAGAACTGATCGCACTTGTTTGGGTGTTGATTTGAGATTTGAGAATAGATCAACCACCATTGATTTAATTTGTCTACCCATGATTAGGATTGACGTAATAGTTGGTATGAAATGGTTGTCGGCAAATAATGCAACACTAGATTGTGCAAGAAAGATAATATCCTTGCCAATATACATTGCACCTACAGTGAAACCGAGTCAGTCAAGATTCTTGTCTATAATGCAAGCAGAAAAGTGCATTCAATAGGGTTGTTAGGTATATATGGTGTTCTTTTCTGTTCATGTTGCTTATGACGAAGGAATCGAGAGAATCAGAGTGGTAAACAAATTTTCAAAAGTATTCTCAAAAGAAGTGTCTGGATTGCCGCCTGAGTGAGAGGTAGAATTTTCTATTGACCTTGTGCCTAGAACAAAACTCATATCAAAAGCTCCATATCAGATGTCTCCATCTAAGTTGGTAAAGCTAAAGAAACAACTGGAGGAATTGCTAGAGAAAAGTTTCATAAGGTTGAATATATCTCCATGGGGATCATTGGTGTTATTTGTGAAGAAGAAGGATGGTAGTATGAGGCTTTGTATTGACTACAGATAGTTGAATAAGTTGACAGTCAAGAACAAGTATCTATTGCCCAAGATTGATGACTTACTAAATTAGCTGGTTGGAGCTGCAGTATTCTTTAAGATTAACCTGTGATCTAGCTATCATCAATTGGGAGTCAGGGTTGAAGATGTGCTAAAGATTGCCTTTCTCACCAAATATAGCCACTATGAGTTTCTAGTGATGCCATTTGAATTGACAAATGCTCCAACGATGTTTATGGACTTCATGAATAAAATATTCCATCCATATCTTGGTAAGTTCGTGGTGATGTTCATTAATGATAGTCTAATTTACTCAAGAGATGAGGAGGAACATTTGAAGCATCTCCGTATTGTCCTGTAACTTTTAAATGATAATAAGTTGTATGCCAAACTCAGTAAATATGAGTTTTGGCTGAGGAAAGTGAGATTCCTTAGTCACTTGGTGTTAGCAGAAGGGATTATTGTAGATCCACACAAGGTCGATTCTATTTTAAAATAGGAACTGCCTACCTCTATGAGAGAGATTAGAAGTTTCTTGAGATTAACAGGCTACTATCGACAATTCGTTCAGGGATTTTCACATATTGTGTCTCCATTGACTAAGTTGACTTGAAAGGATTAGTCGTACGTGTAGACCAATAAATGTGAACTAACATTTTAAGAGTTGAAGAGGAAACTAACGTCTACACTAATACTGATTATTCCTAATGCTCGATTACCGTATGTGGTTTATATGGATGCATCGTTGAAAGGTTTAAGGTGCGTTTTAATGCAAGATGAGCGAGTTGTTGCTTATGCCTCAAGAAAATTGTGACCATATAAGGAAAATTACCTAACTCATGATCTGGAGTTAGCAACAGTGGTTTTTGTCTTGAAAATTTAGCAACACTATCTCTATGGGTTTGTGTTTGAAGTATTATAATGACTACAAGAGTTTGAAGCACTTAGTGGATCAGAAGGAACTATGCATAAGACAACGTAGGTGAATGGAATTCCTCAAGGACTACAACTTTGAGATCAAGTATCATTTAGGTAAAGCCAATATAGTAGCCGACGTGCTAAGTAGGAAAATGATGCATGTCGCTCGCATGATGATCCAAGAGTATCGACTAGTTGAGACTTTCCTGGATACTCAAAGGAAACCACCTCAGATGATATTCTACAATGTATACTTTACGGTCATAACTAATGAATTTTGAAAAGAGTTGTGAACTGCTTAGTTTGAGGATGAATATTTATTGAGAATCCATGAGGATATTGAAGAGAGAAGACCCATATAATTTAGATCCAATGATGATGGATATGTGACTCATCGGGATTAGATTTGCATATCGAGTGATGAGGAGATAAGGAAGATGATCCTAGAGGAAGCGCACTGTAGTGAGTATATTCACCCTGGTTTCACCAAGATGTGTCAGGATATGAAACAAATGTGGTGGTAGCTAGGAATGAAGAAAGATGTCATAAAGTTTGCGGCTAGGTGTCTGATGTGCTAAAAAGTCAAGATTGAGCACTAAAGGCTTGGTGGTGTCTTGAAACCATTAGAGATTCCAAAGTAGAGATGGGATAGTATATTAATGGATTTCATCACTGGATTGCCTAGAACTCAAGCGGGCTATGATGCAATATGGGTAATTATGGATCAATTGATGAAATTAGCGTACTTCTTAATAGTGAAGACGACATATTTACTTAAGAAGTATGCCGAGGCATATGTGAATGAGATTGTGAGACTTCATAAGGTGTTGAAAGACATTGTCTTTGACCATGATCTGAGGTTCACATCAAACTTTTGGCAAGTATTACAGAGAGCAATGGGCACTAAGTTAAGATTTAGTGTGGCCTATCATCCACAGACAAACAGCTAGACTGAGAGGACTATCCAAATGCTCGAGGATATGTTGCGAGCTTATGCCTTAGAGTTTAGAGGCAGCTGGGATATACACCTATCGCTAGTGGAGTTCACTTATAATAATAGTTTTCATTCTAGTATTGGAGTAGCTCCATATGAAGCATTATATGGAAGAAGATGTCGATTGCCTCTATGTTGGATAGAATAGAGCGAGAGGGTTTGGATTTGGCAAATTAAACCATCTAGAAGATCCAATTAATCAAGCAAAAGTTGTTGACACCTCAAAGTCAACAAAAGAGCTATGTAGATTGGTGTAGAAGACCGTTGGAATTTTTGGTGGGTGATCATGTGTTTTTGAAGGTCATGCTAATGACTGGCGTTAGAAAATCGATAAAGGCTAAGAAATTGACTCCCAAGTTTATTAGTCCCTTTAAGATTTTGTAAAAGTTAGGACTTGTTGCCTATCAGATTGCCTTATGTCAAGTTTATCAGGTGTTCATGATGTGTTCCATGTGAGTTAGCTCAAGAAGTATCAATCATATCCTCCTCATGTTATTGAACTAAAAGAGGTGGAACTTCAGGAAAACTTGATTTATCCAGCTGAACTAGAATGGATTGTGGATGTGAAAGATCGACAATTAAGGAACAAGATTATTCGATTGGTTAAGGTCTTTAGGAAAGGTATGACTTTCAATGATGCGACTTGGGAGACTGAGGACAAAATGAGGCAATTATATTCTCAATTATTTCTATAGTGTGTTTGTGCGAGATTCTAAATTTTGAGGGCAAAATTCCTAAAAGGATGGAAGAATTGTAATATCTTAAGTTTCCCAATTAGTAATTATCAGTATTTTCAAGGGTAAATTGATCAATTAAAATGAAGTATTGATTAATGAGGTTTATGGGAGACTAATATAGTTTTTGAATCCTTGGACAGTCTTAGAAGAGGGCTAGGTTGATGTTCAAGTGGGCCATGGTATGGAAAGGAGTTTAAATTTTAGTGTGGCTTTTTGTGCCATATGCCGCGTCGGGCATGTCAATGCACCACAGCGCACCTACAAAATCAGCACATATCAGTTTGTGAAAATAGATCAAAAATAGAAAAAAGAAAGAAGGAAAACTAGAGAGCGACGTTGGGAGCATTTAGAGCTTGAATCACAATTGGATAAGTTCCACATTCCTTCTTCTCCCTCTTTTATGCAAAAAACTAGATTGGTAAGGCAATGGGGGCTTTGATCTCGGTACCCTTAGGTTTCGAACAAACTCATTGGTCCATTTAAGGTCTTAGGGAGTAAAATCAAGCTTCTAATCCTAAGTTTATAATTTTTATGGTGATTGAAAATTTTTGTTGAGGGTTTGGATGAATCTTAGGTATAATCTAGAGGTTTTGAGACAATGTGGGGAATTGGCTAGTAATTTTGATATGTTGGGATGTTTAATAGGATGGTTAGAGTATTTGAGAATGGTTGGTTATCGCACCCGAAAATGCGACGCGAACGGCGTGAGAGTGGAGGTTCTGGCCTTCAGAAAGAAGACCGAAGAAATGGGAATTGCCACCAAAATTTTAAGAGGATAAGGGTGGTCTGTAAAAATAAAAAATAGGTTCGAGAGTCAATTAAGTGTGGGAAAAGTGTTAGGCACCCCACAACACCCGTTCGTAAGAACGGTTACTTGAAATTTACTGTGCTATATAAATATGGTTTTAAAATTATTTTAATTATTCCTTTTATATTCATGTGTTTGATAAAAAAAATGATAATAATTGAGTGAGCAATATTTATTTATTTATGAGAGAGGACTTGACTCAGAATCCAACTCTAAGGCCTACGTACCTTGTGATAGGGATTAAAGTCCACGTAGTTTGAGCTTATAAGTTTGTTGGTGAAAATATTTTTTTGAAGAGAAATTAACTAGAAATAATTCACCATTTTGCAAATAAAATAATTTTTAAAAATTTTGATATGTGTGTTTTAATTGCAAAAAGTGATTTAATTTCAATTATTTTCTCTATTTTTTAAATTTTTGGAATAAGAGTTTAAATTATTTTTTTGAAAATAAAAGAGTTTAAAATTATTTTTTTATTTTTTATTTTTTATGATGGGAATTTAATCACAATACCTGCAAAGCCTTATTGGCTCATACGATAATACAATTATTCTATATATCTACGGAGATTTCAAAATCTCACACAATAAAAGAATTTAGCAACTTTATTTATTTATTTATATTCTTATGTATATTTTTTAAGTATTAATAATAGTTTTTTAAGCATATATGTACATATATTTTTTTAAAAGACTCTTAATTATTATACCTGTAAAGTTTTATTGACTTTTATGGTAATATGATTATTTTAAATATCTGTCAATATTCAAAATCTTCACACAATAAATGATTAAGTAATATATATATTTTAAATATATTTTAATGCATAATTGTACAATTTATATTTTTAAATATAGAAATCTTAATCGCTATATCTGCGAAGTTTTATTAACTTTCATGATAAGATGATTATTTTAGAGGTCTATAGACATTCAAAAATCTCATATGATCAAAAGATTTAATACATTAATTTAATTAATTAATTTTATTATTAAAAAAATTTATAATTTTATTTACCAAATTTATTTGTTTATTTACCATATAAATTGAGAATCACGAAATCTGCAAGAATTTATTATTTCACCCGATAATGTACTTAACTTAAATATCTACAAAGAGTCTTGAAATCTTACATGAGATATAAATATTTTATTATTTTAAATTAAAAAAAGAATTAATTTTAATGATGGGCCTTTGAAACTCATATTATCATATACAAAATTAATCCTCATATCTGTGAAATCTTATTGATTTTCACAATATAAAATTATCCAAAATATCTACAGAGATTCAAAGTTTCTCACAATAAAAGGATTAAATAATATTCACTTTAAATATATTTTAATGTGTAATTATATAACACATATTTTTAAATATAGAAATCTTAATCGTCATACTTGCAAAGCCTTATTGACTCACACGGTAGTACGATTATCTTAAAGGTCTATAAAGTTTTAAAAAAATCTCACGTGACCAAAATATCTAATTAGAAAATATAATTATAATTTGAATTTATTAATTTAATTAATTAATATTATAAAAAATGTTTATTACTTTATTTACAACAATTTGTTTATGTATTTACCATACAAATTGTGAATCATGATAACTGTGAGGATTTATTATCCTACACGATAAAGTAATTAATTTAATTCTCTATAAAGATTATTGAAATATCACGTGAGACTCAAATATTTATTATATTAGATTATAAAAAGAGAATTAATTTTAATGGTAGGCCATTGGGATCCATTTTTAATATATATATATATATATATATATAAAAGTTAGATTTTCATACCTGTGAAATCTTATTAATTTACACGATAGATGATCATTTTAAGAGCCTATGGAGATTTTAAATTTCTCTTGCGATATTGGTTATTTAAGAATATCCCTTTTTTGTTGTCTATCATTCAAAAATTATTGTATTTCACTCTACAAATGAATTTTAAGAATGATAATTTAAAGTTTTATATATCAAATTACACATGTAGAGAAACATGAATATAAAAATTCAGCTCAAAAATGCCTCTGTGTAGGAAGAGAAAAATTGACCAATTAAGATGTAAGCTGTAATGAACCAATAGCGGAAAAATAAAAGCCAGTATATTTGACTATGTAAATGGGCTCCAAAAATCATGAAAATTATAAAGATTAAACTAAACAGGAAAAGGAATATCTATACAAAATATCAAGTACCATGCAAATGCATATATAAAAAAAATCAACAAAGTGGCTGTATTTCAGTGGTAAAATTAAAGTAAAGAATCTCAAGACAATACTTGATATTAACGCACATCAACACATTTTCAAACTTCCCATGTTCACATACGATCTTAAGGTGATACATGAAGAGCCATTCAATCTTGAATTTTCAGTAAACAAAAGGAAGGAAGAGCAATATAAGTTGGCTTACCAGGCATTATTAAGACATTGTGTTCAAGCATTGCATTGAGAGGAAACCACACCTTTAAGCTTTCCTATAGTAAATGCTCCAGAGAATATCAGTTCCATGACTGCACCATTATCCCATGCTCTGTTTTTCTGCATTTTCATTTCTCTCCCACTGTGCTCCATTTTCTCATTCGTTCCCAGCTCTCTCCTTCCTCTAGTTTTCCTCTTCTTTTTTTTGGGTTTTTTTCCTTCTCCCACTCTCAATCTCTTTTTTTTCTAGAAAGCACTCCCTCTCAGACTCTCGGTCGTCTCCGGTCTCTGTTTAGACCCCCTACAACATTCGAAGCAAAATGACAGGTCCTCCCTCCGTTTTCTTCCGGTTTGAGTGGTGTGACTATGCTCTATTTTTTCTTCTTCTATTTTTACTGCTGCTCTCTCTCCCATCGGCCTCTCTTCTTTCTCCAACTTATTCTCCATCACCAACTCCCTCATTCCCACTCTCTCGGTCTCCTCTTCTACGTGCATCTCCCCTCTTTTTCTGCCTGTGTGCGTGTGGTCTCCATACTCTATTTTTCTCTCTTCTATCATGTCTCTCTTCTGTCACATCTCCCTCCACTTGACTGTCTTTCTGGTTGAGTCTACTGTCCTTTCTTTTCTACTTGCGTGGCCGAGTCCTCTCCCCCTTTCTTTATACATGCATTTTCAGAGATAAAGCCTTGCGCATGCATATGCGTGTGTCTCTCTTCTGCTCCTTTGCGTCTCTAACTTAATTTTTTTCTCTGCTCCCTGCTTCTGCTATGTGCCATCTGCATCTCTGTGTTCTCTATTTCACCTTAGCGTCTGCTCTTCTTCTGCTGTGTGCCGTCTACGTCTGCTTCACGTGTGTGTGTTTTGCTGTGTAAAGCTTCCTTTCTGCTCATTTGCTGTTTCTATACTGAAGGACCAGAACTAATAGTAGCATTTAACCTTCAATTTATATATAGTAGCATTTAACCTTCAATTTACATATATATATATATATATATATATAACCACAATTTTTATTTTTATTTTTTGTATTTATTTATTTTTAAATAATCCTTAAAGGATTAAATTTTCATTTTTTTTATATTTATTATATTTTAATTGTTTTAATGAGCTAAAGAAATAAAATCCTAATCAGCAGAATATAACATTAAACCTATTAATTAAAATATTTTTTTATTTTGAAAATATAATCCTAAAAAGGATTAAATTTTACTTTTGTATTTTTATATTTTTTTTGGTTGAATTCATTATTATTTTTATTAAATTTAAAAATACTCAGACAAAATATAGTGTTCACATTGGTGGTGTTAGAAAAAAAATTTGATTGTTATGAGTTATTCAGAATGATAATTGACGATTGTCATTTGATTGTGTAAATTGAGCGTTCCTCGAGTTACATCGTGTGTATAGAATGTGTGGAGCTAATGTTGAGCCAATGTAAACCTTTTGTGTGATAAAGGGTCAAAGTAACCACATAGTTTATTATGTTTATTAATTATTATAATTGTATAGAAGTAAATACAAAGTGATGAATTTGTTGTTTAAAAATTTTGTACATGATTTGATATTGAAAAATGATTTTAGCATGAACATTGGTTTGTGAAATGGAATTCAAAAAGTCATTGATTTCAAGAGATATGTACACACACACATCTATATGATATGAAAGTAAATACTATGGAAATGTGGAGTAGTGATAAGTATAAAAAGCATGATCATAGAGAGTGGGAGTTCACTCGATATATGTGGGGATGTGTGTGTGGAGATATGTGAGTAAAAAATTTATATAGTCAAGCTAACACCATGGGACATCCGGTGCAGCATTATTTGGGACTATTATTATAGGACATCTGGGCAATCTGGCAACTCCTTAATACCTGTTAAGGTGCAGTTAGGAGTCAACAATACCTCTATCACAAGTGTGTGAAGAGGGAAAAACCATAGTCCATAGGTGGGTTAGATTACTTTGACAAGGTGTTTCTACCACCGAAAATATATACGAGTTAACAAGTGATTGATCCAAGAGAGCTTATGATTTCATGTCGGGGAGCATCGGAGGTTCGATGGTTAAATGATTATACTAGTGTGGAATTGTTGTGAAAACATGAATCTATCTTATAATTTGATATACGTGATATTACCTCAGTTTTAATACTTTAACATGGTTATTTATGGTAATAAACATTTGATAAATTATATTGGTTATTGAGATGTTTAGCTCACCCCGTGATTATATTTTACAGGTGAGGGCTCTGCTAGGGGCAAGGGAAAAGGAGTGGTGTCTAAAGAGTAATAAGCATAGTCGTATAACTCTTCCCCTTTCTCTTTTGGGTTTATAATAAATATTGTTAATATATAATGCTAACTTAAGAACATGACATTATTTTAGGATATCACTTTATGAATTTGTGATAAGTATGCGTATCTTAGTCCAAGGTTGATGTTGTGTGTGCTTGGCGAAGTTACAATTACAAGTGATTTAATTGAAGCGATTTATGTGCCAAAATGACCAAGTTGATATGTGTGTTAAATTTTATACACCCGTTTGTGTTATTGTTAGGTGGGGGTTTGGTGGTCATTTTGAGTGTGATTGTTATTTGTGTGATATGAATGAATTGTCACGTAGTGTATAGTCCATTTGAAGTGGTTAACTTGTCTCTAAGGCTAATGGCATTTGGTATT